AATGAGAATGAGAATGAGAATGAGAATGAGAATGAGAATGAGAATGAGAATGAGAATGAGAATGAGAATGAGAATGATAAATCAAATAATAGGTAATGGATTAGTGTTCAATGTCGCAATCCAAAAAAGGAAACAAATGGTTACAACCATCATCAAAAGTTGCAGCCGGAGGCCTTAGTTTATAGAGGTTCTACACCAATTGGTGGTTGGGATGTGCGACATTCTAATCAAATCCAATTTATATTAATACTAATGTCGTGTATTGATTGGATATATGTAAATGTTTTGTGATCAGAAATTACATAGTAAGCATAGTAAAATATACTAACACTGTTTCAAATTGTTGCCCCTCTTCCATTTTCAAAGATATAGACACAAATTTATGTAAAAAGATAGTATACGGTGTAGTTTAGAGATACGAAGAATTTTTTGCTCTACTTAATTTATTCTTGAGCATATACATTTTGAAAATTAACTATTTTTTCAATATTTTCATTATGAAACTCTTCATTGCTCTAAACCACACATCACACACTATCATTTCACATAAATTTGGTGTCTATATTTTTGAAAACGGAGGAGTTGCGAGTTGAAAACAGTTGTTTACCAAAATATGCCGATCACATCGATTTTGGTATTCAAAATTTAAATTTTAAGAATAGAAAATAAACATTGCTCTACGCCTACCTTTACAACTTTTCATAAATTATAATTAGGATGTTAATGGTTCGATCCAGACCAAATGGACCATGAACCAAATCGGTTTAGCCTTAGACATTTTCACGAATACATATGTAAACTTGATAAGTCGGTCATGTGGGGGTGAGCTCATATGACTGACTTATCGAGTAAACCGACTTATCGAGTGACCGGCTTATCGAGTGACCGGCTTATCGAGTGACCGGCTTATCGAATTTACATATGCAGAACGATTTTCTAAATTGAGAATTCTATATATGGATGATATTAATTAGATTTTTTAATCAACTGATATCGAATACCCCAGTAAAACATGTTGGTAGGATAATGGTAAGGATTGGACCTTTAGTTAGTGTAGAGAAGGTGAATTTGTTAGGGTTTTAGGGAATTTATCACAAATGAATTTAATAATCGAGAAGAGAAAATATTGCCTTCACAATCACCTGACCTCAAAAATGAGCACGGAATTGGAGACTGTGCCGAAGAGGAATGAGCACAAATCCAGTTTCTAACAATAGGTGCCAACTAGATACTGAATTTTATTATTATTGTAAAAATAAATTTTTTTTATTTTTTTCATTTGGCTTAGATAAACATAAAATTACTTTTCAAACCTTAAGTAACGTAAAATTTTATATTGTGATCAAAAACTTTTGTCCAATTAACATATGTAAATAAAAAATCATTATAATCATTAATGAAAAAGTATCTTTAAAGAGAAATATTAACAAATAGATAGCCTTTAAAATATAATAATTTTTAAAAATTATCCACATTAGTATATAATATTGCTAAAATAGCAAAATAAAAATATATTAATTATTCTTGTGGTTTTTTATCAATTATTTGAAATACTTCCAATTCATCATATTTACTACCACTTACTATATTAATGTTGCTATAATTACTACTTTTACTATAAATAGAATGACAACTTGGTATAAAACCAAGATCCAAACCATTACCAAAAACTGCTGAATATGAAGAATGACAGCGAATTGCAAAATCACAATTATTAGTAACATAACTAAACTGTGAAGAATTAATGTTATTTCTAATACTAATATTAAAAATAAAACTTTCAGTTGTGTATTTATATGTATTAGCTCCATTATTTAAATTCCAATTAAGTGGATTATAACCTCCTACTAATTGATCTGAATTTTGTATTTTGCCAACTACAAGGGTTTTGTTGATATTATCACATTTTTGGTGAAATGTAGTTTCGTTTAAACCATCCCTACTACTATGATACAAAAGTTTGAATTTATATGTGATTTCCCTGAATGAAGTGTATGGTGGATTTTTTTTATCAATCCAACTTGCAAAAAGTAAAATAAAATTATGATTGATTGTTAATGATGGAATTCTTGGTGGTAATAAATTTAATGCTTGTTGTACATCACCAGGATCCAAATAATAATTTATAAGGTTTTCCCATAAAACTTCAGAAAAAGTTTTTGATAAGGTTTAATTTTATCAGAAAATTCTTCATTGGAGATATCCTGGAATTGAATCAAAGGAATAATATCTTCTAGCATATTTTTTAACTCCTTGTAATCATCTTCACTCCACATTGAAATAATTTTTTCCTTTTCTGAGTTTTTAATTTGACCAATTCCCCATTCAATGATACAATCCCAAGTAAAAATTTCCTTTAAATCTAAGTAGTCATTTTTTAGTAAAGATATGAATGTTGGTTTTTCAATATCATAAAAATCATTTGATTTTAAGAATGATCCTGGATTGTAATTAATCAAATTTTCAAAGTAATCTTTAAGGATGCTAAATGATTGATGATTTGATAAAATTTGATAAAAATGGTTTAAATGCTGTTGAATCCATTTTTTTTCATTAGCAATCAAGTAATTTTGTAAACTGTCAAGTAATTCGT